TAAAATTTTGATAATTTTGTAATGGTAACCATAACTATAATTCACATTTGAGATGTAACTCTTCCTTATTTTCTAACTCATTTTACTTTATTTATATGTTATGTAGAATCAAATTTAAGATATCTTATTTTTTTATTAAAAAATTATCATTAAATTATTTAAATTATTTATTAAAAAATTATTTTTATCACTTATTAATAATTATAAAAATACTATACATAACTTTCTTTATATTATTTGTTTTTCTCAGTTTTTTTTAACAAAAAAAATACAATATTATATTAATATCTGTTCGAAAAAAATCGAGTCTAAAACTCAACCTATGGACCAAAATATATTCCACCTACTTCCCATTTTAGAGAAACGTGATTGTCACTACAGAGACACGGGGAAATGCTTGTTTTTCTCAGTTGTTAGTTGAGTTATAAGCACACTAGGACAATGATAGGACAAATAACTGTGGATTGGTGGACCAAGATTCACTATACCGCGTATAGATTTTTTTCCCCTTTTTTCGACCTATATATATACTGCAAAATGCATATAGAGTATGCTAGACTTTTTTTTGTGAATTTCAAAAAAAAAATTTTGGATAAAATGTAAAGTTTTTATTTATCCAAATTGATTGTGTACAATGAAAGCAGCAAATATGCTACTACTTGAAACAAATATCCAAAATTGAATATACAAAATAACCACTATGCACAAACTTAACATCACACTGCTATTGTTTCAAGTCCCTAATTGCGTGCAATAGTTGTGGGCAATAGCAATGATTTCAGCTAAACAAAACCTAGAATTTTGCTTCTTACATCAATCTGGATATCATGAATAAGTGCACTCTCTGACTTGAAGACCTACTGATGAAACCTCCTATTCCTCTCCATCCACACATGGTAGACAGAAGCATTCCATGTTAGCTTATTAGGGTGTGATATAAAGACTTCCTTCAAATCTTCTTACCCAGCCAATGCATTAGGCTTTGCCAAGAATCAGTAAAAGGTATACCAATTATAAAACAAAGCTGCTGCCATATATTACTGGTAAAATTGCACTTAAAAAACAAGTGTTCATTTGTCTCTAAACTACCATTGCATAGGATGCAAGTGTCAGCAATTGTAGGCGTCCATTGCTTTTGTCTAACTTTTGTGGTTAGCTGGTTGAGAATGGCTAGCCAACTAATAAAGCTAGGCTTAGGAATGGCTTGATAAAACTAGATTAGCTTGTCCCATGCTTTTTTGCTCTGTTTCCTTCTTAGCCAGTTCCAAGTCTTTCCAGCTTTGTAACTTCCTGATGTAGATGGCACCCACAACACCTGATCTTTCTCACTTTGCTTTGGCCAAATGCTAAATAGATGCATTTGAATTTGTACCAATTGAGGTGACTTAGCAGGGGGCCATTTCCAAAAATCTCCACTAATTACACATGCTAGCTTTGCTTGAAAAGGTATCCCTATATCTCTTACAATAGAATCACCATAAGTCTCTAGTAATGGCCCACAGGGGTGCCAATGATCATGCCAAATATAAGTATCCATGCCATTACCTGGGACATGCTTAATAAGCTTCCTAGCTACCTGTCTCAATTTGAGGATTTTCCTCCACCCCCAAGATGCATTAGCTTGTATATTAACAGTCCAAAAGCTTTTGCCCTTTAGTAAGTAGTCATGGGTCCAAGCTACCCAAATAGATCCTACTCTTGTAAACAGCATCCAGATGAATTTTAATATACAAACTTGGTTCCAGAACATCAAATTTTTGAGCCCCAAGCCACCCTCATGTATAGGAGAACATACAATTTCCTAATCTACTTTGGCCCCTTTAGCACTATGCATGTCATTGTTCCACAAAAAGGCACTACAGATTCTCTCCATTTCCCTTATGACCCCCTTTGACAAAATAAAGATAGAGCACCAAAAATTAGTGATGCCTTGAACAACCGAAGATATCAATTGTAATCTTCCCGCAATAGAGAGATGTTTTGCAGCCCATGAGGTCATTCTCCCAGTTATTTTAGAGATCAGAGGTTGAAGATCATGCTTAGTCAATTTCCTTGTAATTAGTGGGACTCCTAGATACCTCACTGGCAAGGAGCCAACCTTGAACCAAACTTCTCAATAAGCTGCTTAATGTGTGTTTCAGATAATTTGCAGCAAAATAATTTTGATTTGGCATAGTTAACACGTAACCCAAAAAATTCATAAAATTGCCTTAAAACAGCATCAATCACGTCAAGTGAAGTCAAACTACCATAAAAAATATTATTAAATCATCTACAAAACATAAATGTGTAAGTTGCACCTTTGCACATTTAGGATGGTAGGCAATTTTTCCCTCCTTTGCTGCCTTATTTAATAAACTTGAAAGAATTTCCATACAAATCACAAAGAGGTAGGGTGATAAAGGATCCCCCTATCTGATACCCTTCTTACCAGGAAAGTAGCCACACAAGTTGCCATTGAAAACAATTGAGAACATAGGTGTGGTCACACAAGCAGAAAGCCAATTTATAAATTTGTTAGGGAACCCTAGGGATAACAAAATCTGAAAAATAAAATCCCAGGAGACTGAATCAAATGCTTTCATCAAATCAATCTTCAAGGCACATCTAGTGCTTAAGCAGCTCTTATGATAGTGCTTTACAATTTCCTAGGCCAAAAGAACATTTTCAACCATTAGTCTGCCTTCCACAAAAGCGCATTGGCTGCTACTAATAAAGAGGGGTAGACATTTCTTGAGTCTTTTAGCCAAAATCTTTGTGATGAATTTATAAAGTAAATTGCAACAAGAGATTGGCCTAAACTCAAACATTTTGGCAGGATTTGAGACCTTTGGAACCAAGGTTATCAACGTAGAGTTCAATTCCTTTAGTATTTTTCCAGTTGTAAAAAATTCTTGGATGGCTTTTATCACCAAATCACCTACAATTGCCCAGGAGGCCTTAAAAAAATTCTGTTGTGTATTCATCAAGCCCAGGTGCCTTATTTCCAGGGCTGTTGAACACAACAACCTTAATTTCTGTTGCAGTAACCAGTTGTGTAAGCAAAGTACATAGATCTTTTGGTAATTGGAATTGCAGCAAGTCTTTGAGCCATTGACCATCCACCTTTCTACAATTCACATCTTGTGTTCCCAACAAATTTTTGTAGAATTGCACAGCTTCAGCCTCCATGTCAGGTAAGGCTATAAGTTTCCTTCCATCCATTGTAGTGAGCTTAGTGATTGTATTTTTCATCCTCTTTATTTTTACCACTTTATGAAAATATGTGGTATTGCTATCGCCTTCTTGCAGCCATTTAACCCTTGATTTCTGCCTAAAAAAAGACTCCTCAGCAAGTTGCAAAGTTGCTACTTTATTGGCTTGCTCATGCTCAACTTAAATTAAATCTTCACGTGGGTTAGCTAATAGATCAAGTTGCAGCACGTGTAACTTACCTCTTTCCTGTTGCAATCTACTCTGTATGTCCCCATAGTGATCAGTATTCAACTTTTTCAAAGCTGGCTTTAGGACCTTGAGCTTTTTACAAAGTTGGTATATGTCACTACCTTTTTATAAAGTTGAATTTCAAAACTTTTATTGATCTTATTATGACATCTACCAAAAGAATGTTTATTTTATAATTGGCAGAGTATAGAGATTACTTATAAATATTGCAACCCATCATTAAAAAAAAAAAAAGGAAGAAAAACTCTCCTCCCAAATTCAATTTAGGTACTAATAAGTGATTAGTCAAGTTGTATTTATCAACTTAAACTTGTATCAAATCAAACAGTTAATTTAAAAAAAAAAATTAAAGAGCATCTTAATAAAAATCTTTCTTATGATCATTCATTAATAATAATATAATGTCAATAACTAGTATTTGAATACTCATTAATTTAAAATTTTTAATTTAAAAGTAAGAATTTTTTATACCAATTAGCTATCATACTCTAATGTTTAACTTCCTATAGGGAAAAATTAATAGAACATCATAATAAAAAATTAATAAAACATTTTAATAAAATTCTTTCTTATAATTATTTATGAATGATAATCTAATATCAACAAAAATTTAATTAAATTGATATTTATTAATTTAAAATTTTTAATTTAAAATTAAACTTATTCCGTAATACTAAATTAACTACCACACTTTGATGATCTAGAAAAATAAATTAATAATATAATCTAGTAATTTTAGCCAGGGGAGTGAAAATTGAAAAACATAAAACTCAAATATGATTGTAAGAAATTGTCAGGTAAAATATTGTAATTTTGAGCGTTTTTTGTCCTAACTAGTGCATATTTGATTTCTGTAGGGCTCCGGACAAAACCCTGGATTTCCTCCCGGAGTTCTCTGCAATACGAGCTTCCGATTTACCGGACGGGAAAGTCTCCAGAAACGTTCATTCTCCGTTTGCAGAAATGTTACTTAAAATGGGGATAGCGCTTCGCCGAGCAACCGCTGTCGCGGCAAATTCATTCCAAGAATTGGACCCTCTCATCGTTACCATGCTCAAATCTAGATTCCAAAAACTCCTCAACGTCGGCCCCTTCTGCCTAACCCTGCCACTCCCGTTCTCCGACACCTACGATTGCATAGAGTGGCTGAACAAGCAGGAACCTTCATCAGTTGTCTACATCAGCTTCGGAAGCGTAATAACATCCCCACCTCACGAGCTAACAGCGCTACTGGCAGCACTGGAGTGACATATCTATGGTCATTGAGGGGCGACCCAGAGAAACTTTTGGGGAAGGAATTTGTAGAGAGGATTAAGGAGAAAGGGAAGATTGTTCCCTAGGTTCCTCAGCTGAACCTGAAAGTGTTGCAGCATAATTCAGTTGGGGTTTTCGTAACGCACTGCGGATGGAACTCGGTGTTGGAGAGTATTATTGGCGGGGTGCCTCTGATTTTACGCCCGTTCTTCGGAGAACAGAATCTGAATAATCGGATTGTGGAGGCTGTATGGGGGATGGGTTTGGGGGTGGAAGGTGGAATCTTGACCAAGGATGGAATGGCGAAAGCGCTGGAGTTAATACTGTCAACTGAGGAAGGGGAGAAATTGAGAAAGAAAATTGAGGTACACAAAGAACTTGCTCTCAAGGCTGTGGAACCCAATGGTAGCTCGACTGAAAATTTTCGAACTTTGGTAAAGATTATCAACAAAAACTAATTGGGTTGAGTGTACAATGAGATACTTACGTTTAAATGCATAGGATTGTGCTTGTGTGCTAGCTAGAATAATATTTATTTGATGATTTTAGTTGTGTGATGTGTGTACTTTTTTAACCTTCTTGAATCTTGGTTCATTTTGTACTCAATAAATATTCTGGTGTTAGGTGTTAGGTGTGTAATGAACTTATTTATAATTATTTCACTTTTGTTCTTATATACTGCAAGGCGGCAGCCCTAATATTATGTTATAAGAGGAGTATTGTTGTTTGTATTTTGATTATTTGGGGGAGGAGTGATTCCTTTTTCTTTTTGGTAGGATGAATCAATGAGTTAACAAATTTCCAAATGAAAAGGAACAAAAGAGTAATTGAATAGTTTGTCTGTTTTCTAAGTGAAATATTGTGAGATGCGTGAACGGCTTAAATACTGGGAGATATTATTAAGGTTTAATGTTCCGTAAGACTGTAAACCTGTCTAAGCTCTCCACTGACAAAGTATTCTTAACTTAATTATGAGTTTTGGCCGAGTGGCCCAACTCACAATTGACAATTCCTTGTCATATCTGTAACCCCATCTCAGTCTTTTTTTTAAGTAGTAGGAGGAATGCATTCACTTGATTAAATCGTTAACACTGCTATGCTGGGTGAGAGTGTCATGTTCTGGAGAGTATGGAAGAACAAAAGTCAACCCTTGAACTGCCACTGATTTCTCAAGACATTAATGGATGTGAATCGAAAGCGGGATTCAGCAAAGATGAGATCCTTGCTGAGGTGAAGAAGCAGCTCCTGTTAGCAGGCCCGCTTGTGTCAGTCAATTTCTTAATATTTGCTTTGCAAATAATCTCAGTGATGTTTGTGGGTCACCTTGGAGAGCTGGCACTTTCCGGTGCTTCCATGGCCACTTCCTTTGCTTCAGTCACTGGTTTCAGCTTGTTGGTAAGATTCGTTGATTTCATTGTTAGTTTATGAAAGTTCAGCTAGGATATGTGATGGGGAATGCTGGCAGCAACCCCCAGAGGTTTACAAAAAGCGATCCAAAGTTGGTTCTAAAGCCATGCCTTAGTTTGGCATATGGCCAATGATGAGAAGCTTAGGTGGGAGCTTAATTAAGTCTTTTATTGGTGGTTTTTATTATTATTATTATTTTTATAAGTTATTTAATTTTTGTAGAGTCCTAGTTGGATTAAAACTTCTAAATAAGAGTTCTATTAGGAGATTAGTAGTTCTTATTTGTATACGTGTTTATAGTTTCTTTAGACATTCAGTTAAATACTATTCAAAATTTTTTAGCAAGTTTTGCTGTTGATTGTGTGAAGCAATCTACCTTAGGAGTGATTCCTAAGGATGCCTAGGTGTGATTCCTAAGGCTCTTTATTTTTCCCTCTCTTCTAAACTAAATTTCTAACCTTTTTTACTGTTCATGCACACTATTCTAAACTACCTTCAAATAAGTCTTGAATTCTCCAGCCCACCAGATCACTAACCTGTCCCACATCAATATGTTTGATGATTTTCCTTTGTGATGAATGTAGAGAGGGATGGGAAGTGCATTGGACACATTCTGTGGGCAATCTTATGGTGCAAAGCAGTATTACATGCTTGGCATTCATTTGCAAAGAGCAATTATTGTTTTGTTGTTGGTTAGCCTCCCTCTAGCATTCATATGGGCGAATGCTGGGACAGTTCTTTTGTACTTCCAACAAGATCCTGAAATAGCTGCTGAGGCTGGACTTTATGCTCGTTTCATGATACCAAGCATCTTTGCATTTGGTGTCCAGGAATGTCATGTCAGATTCTTACAAACGCAGAACAATGTGGTTCCTATGATGGTTATTGCAGGAATCACAACACTGCTTCACATCTTTACTTGTTGGTTTCTGGTGTTTAGATCTGGCCTTGGGAACAAAGGTGCTGCTTTGGCAAATGCCTGTTCTCTTTGGATAAATGCTTTGCTTTTGATTTTGTATGTAAGAATCTCTCCCTCATGCAAGAAGACTTGGACTGGCTATTCCAAGGAAGCATTCCATGGTATCCCTAAGTTCGTGAAACTTGCAATTCCTTCAGCAATCATGCTCAGGTACCCTCTATTTTTTCCTCCTTCAAGTCTACTTTCAAATCAAATTGGTTTATGTCCATTTCTGGATAGTAATTAATCATGTGCTCCTAGAACAGCTTAGAGATCTGGTCATTTGAAATGATGGTTCTGCTAGGTGGCTTTCTTCCCAATCCAAAGCGTGAAACATCTGTCCTCTCAATAACGTTTGTATTCCTTCACAAGTCAAATTATAGTCCTGCTTGTGTTATCCTTTCATAAGATTGTCTCTTTATTAATTTCTGTCTGATTATGAATACTTGCAGCCTAAATACATGTTCAATGGTCTACATGTTACCCCTAGGACTGAGTGGTGCAGTAAGGTAATCTATCTAATGTTTTGTTGGCATACATCCTTTGTTATTTGCAATTATTTTGCATACATCCTTTGTTATTTGCAATTATTTTTCTCAAAGTAAATCTTTTCTCTGCCTTTTTATTGTTGCATGGCCAGCACAAGAGCATCAAACGAATTGGGAGCAGGACGACCACGAGTTGCCCGCCTTGCAGTCTGTGTTGCTGTTCTTATGGTAGCTACAGAAGGTGTTGTGGCAGGCACTGCCATGGTCTTGGGTCGGAAAGTTTGGGGCTATTTCTACAGCAATGATAAAAATGTAGTTAAGTATGTGGGTGAAATGCTAGTGTTGGTTACGGCTTCCCATTTTTTTGATGGAATTCAGTCTGTGCTTTCAGGTTTGTAACACAATTGTTTGTTGACTCTTGTCCTTTCACTTGTGATTTTGAGGAAATTATAACTGTTGCATGGAAAAATTGCAGGAACTGCAAGGGGATGTGGATGGCAGAAGGTTGGGGCCTTGGTTAACCTTGGAGCATACTATCTTGTGGGCATTCCTTCTTCTATTTTATTAGCATTCATATACCATCTTGGGGGAAAGGTAGTTTCCTAGATAAATATATCTTCTTTGTTCCTAGAAATTGTTCCCTTCCTTCAAAGGAATGCTAATATGGTATTATTAATCTGTATCTGAAATGAGTTATATACAGGGACTCTGGACAGGAATCATACTGGCACTGTTTGTGCAAGCATTGGCTTTATCAATAGTAGCTTTGCGCACCAACTGGGAGAAAGAGGTAAATCTGATGTGAAAATAGGACTATATTCGAGTTAGTTTTTGCTGCTTTTACACAAAGGGTTTCTGTTGGTCCAGCGTTTTGTTTCACATAAAAGTTTTTGTGTTGAAGTTACAAATCTGACATGGAAATAGGTGCACCCATATTGTAACTCTTTTTTTAACATGCATCTTGTTCTATTTCTTGCCATGTTTTACAGGCAAAGAAAGCCGTTGAGAGAGTACATAGTTCAATGAATGCTGAGCATTCATTGTCATGAAAATTGGATCTGGATTATCTGAATACGGGACAAGGTAACATGCATAGAAATATCATTTTTGTAGTTATGTTCTTTATTTATTGTGGTCTCCTTCAACTTTAATTGGATAAACAAGAAGCTTGATTATTTCACTTCTGTTCCAAAAAAAAAAAATTCTTAATTTGGAGGCCCAAAATAGGACAAAACTTAATTATCTATATCTTCAAATCTCAACTTGTCATCAAATATAATACTTCGTCGGCGGAGAATATTATGGGGTAAAAGACAAAAAGGAGTGATCAAGCCTTGGAAATATCTTCCTTTTTTTTTTTCTTTTTTTTTTTCTTTTTTGTCTTTCGGGGAAAAAAATCCTAAAACCCAATTTGTCCATTTGTCTATCGTCTCCAAGCTTAGATGTAAAAAGTTATGGATGCATTTGAGAAAATTTGTTGATTTACCAACTAGATATTATAAGATGGATCTTCTTAGGCTTTTTAATATTCATCATCAAGAAGCAGTTAATTAGTTTAAATTTTTTTTTCCGAATTTTCTAATCTTATTGGTAGTTTGTCCCATTTTTCTTTCAAACAAATGATCGATCTCAATATGCTGATCTTAATTATTACTTGAAAAAAGAGAAATTAAGGAATATGTACTCATGGGGCAAGTAACAATTAATATCTTTTAAGTTCAATATTGAGGAGTGCCAGCAATACCTAGTGTAATTGATGATAAGTGAAAGAATTTAAAGTTAAACACATTTGTAATTAAAAATTATATCTAATCACATAGAATCTGTATTAAAGTAACCCAACTACACGGGAGAATGTGTGAGATGGTTCATTTCCCCATTATTAGTATTCAAAAGGATGCACTTTGGAAACTGGAAACCTATATATGTTCATGTTTCATTGTACTTTCATGAATGTTTTTAATAAGAGAAGATGGATGGATGCACCTCGGTCTACTCATAATTAAACAAAGGAATCACTATTTTTATCACTCTTGTGCTGTATAAATAACAACCTATTCCTTTTGATTCACAGCAGTTTGTTATCAGTGCGAAGGAGATTATCTATAGAAGCAGACTATAAAGCGAGATGATACTTTGCTCATTTATACTGGGAGTTCAAGTTGCTGCCAATCTAGTGGCAGCTGTGACGCCAGCTATAACGGTGCTCGCACCTGCGCTTTTGCCAGTAGTGGCACCGGTGGTGTGTGTCAGCATGGTTTCTGGGGCAATAGCTCCGGTGGTTGCGAGGTTTGCTAAGAAATAGGTCTGTAGGAACAGTGTTCTCTGATGTTTGCATTACTTTGTCCATGCTGAACTTTTCCATTAAATAAAAAACTCTGGCATTGTGAATTCTTCATACCGCTCAGACCCATTACTAACTTTTAAGCATTGCCTATTTAGAAATTGTTTTTTCCATATGAAGATAGTAAATTAGCTAATCAATGGCGAAAATATGTAGCACTTAACATGTTTCTTTTTTAAAAACGCATTCAGTCTAGACAGAGGTGAGCCAGAAACAATAGTTCCAATTGGCAAACTATGCCCAACTCCAGTCAAAAAGTTTGTAGACGAGTTACCTTTATGAGGTGTGTTGAATAATAATGGAAACAAACTTAAATCATTGTAATCAAAAGACTTCAATATTAGAATTCATTGTTAAATGAGTACTTTATTTGTTAATTTGACTTATCCCGAATTATGTAGTTTTTAATATTAAAAAAAATACAACTTATAATATTATAAAGGTTGACAACTTCCTATATCAATCTCAAAACGCTGTCCAATAATTCTTGTCTGCATATTGCAACAATTAGCATTGCACAACACTTTTTCCTTAAAAATATGAATAAAAGTCAGCAGTCTGTGACCCCATTGACACGGCCACAGGTCTTTGTAAAGACTGCTTGGACACTACGGTAATGGGTTCTACACCCGACCCGGGCATTGCATTCAACACCTTCAAATTTTCTCTTGTGTCAAAAAAAAAAAAACCGAAAAAAAAAAAGGACGAATGGTAAAATTGTAAAAGATTACTGTGTCTGTGTCCTAACAATCACGCAAAAGATCACTCGATATGATATTAGAAGACCATCAGAACCCTTCGAATTGAAATCAACGGCTGAAAATGGTCTTGGCCAGTACAGTAGGAGTCAGAGAGTCAGATATCTCATATTTCTTTACAATATAAATTACTGAACAAAAACTCTAATACGTAGTGGTATACTGATTATCCAATGAAAAAAAAGTGTTGAGACACCCAAAAATAAAGTTTTATATATATAAAAAAATAAAATACTGAACACAAAAAAGGGAATCGTTCCAATCCATAGTCTCTCTAATTGTTCCGATCAAAACAACGGTGAGAACTACAGTGAGAACTACAGGATACCCTTTCTTTTTCTGTTCATGTAAGTCCTTTATGCGATAACTGCGATGTTCTATTGTGCTTTTATATAGCTTTCACGGCTGTTGTTTTTCTTTATTTGCGCTTTTTTCCCTGAAAATGATGTGGTAATGTTGAAGATCCATTTATTTGGTCTGTTTGGTAACTGAGATAGTGATGAAAAGAAATGAACCAGAATTTCCTAGTAATTTCTTGACACACAAGAAAAAAAAAAATCTAGCCCTTGATCCACGAAGTCGTACCACTTCTTCTGTTGTTGTTTTTTTCTTTTCTTTTCTTTTCTTTTCTTTTGACTTTGATATCCGTTTAATGTTCTGCTTTTTTTACAATAAGAAAGGAGCTTACCATTATTGCATGTTATCTAGTATTTGGATCTATTTCTATTATTAGATCATGGGGTTTGCTGTGGACTGAGTAAACCAATTTTAGAATTATTTAGGTCATTGTAACATCTGATGCGGGAATCAATTTACGTTTCTGGATGTCAGCATTGCTTTGCATGATGATTTACTTAGCTCTTGTTTGAATAGATTCCCATTTTCCGTTGTATTGTAGACGTCTTTTTGCTGCATTCGGGGTACCTCAAATTTATTTCTTTGCTTAGTATTGTTGTCTTGTTTTCAGCTTCACGAGGATGAGAATGCTCTGTGGTGAAATGATGGTGGGTTTAAGTAAATTGAAACTAGAGATCAAGTGTTAGATCTTCCAACTTGGAAGTCAGTGGATCATGCATTTAGATACTTTTGCCTTGATTGCATGTTAATTGTACTAACACCATGTTAACTTCGGGATTCTTTGTAAAGCCAGTTCTAGTTGATAATGTTTCATATCTGATTTGGACAATTATGTATTCCTTGCCTTGTTGTATTATGTGAAGGTAACTTTGTAGCTGACTTTTTGGCTGCTTTGGGACACTACTCTCCACCGGGGACTAGCATTTTGGACTCTTCATCAACTGGACTGCGTTCTATCCTGATAGGAGATTCTATGGGGGCTAGTTTCCTCCGTTACTAGTTTTTTCCTGCTATTATTTTCTTAGTTTTCATTGATGTACAAAAAAAAAAATGTTTGTTTCATACTTCTATTAAATCCAACATTCGTGTTTATGGTTTTACGGTTTTTATTTTAAGGACAATTTTGTTTCAATATATAATATGATAGGCACTTATGATTCAAGAAAAAGAAGGATAAATGCATGGTAGGATACAATAACAATCAAAATTTCTCAAAATAATTTTTCTTATACAATAGAGAATTGTAATATAACTTTACTTCGAGATTTCATAGTTTTATTTTTAATAGAAAGTCA